TAAACTTGGACTGGTCTATATCCTTGAGAGAATGATAATGTGTCATCACAAGAAGACTGTGTCGATATTTTTCATTTGCAAGTTGTTGACGAAAATGCGATTGACGAAAATGCCCCGTTTAAATTGGTCAAAATATTTAATTTTTTTTTTTCATTTTTTAGGTCAACTAATGGTGGAACTAACTCTTTTCGTCAATTTGGATTTCAGGTGCTAATATTTCAAAGGTTTGGGACCACTGGTGGTATAAACTGAAAGTTAAAGTAAATTCTATAAAAAATCCAAAGGTTTGAGACCGTTGATACAATTTTCCTTTTAAAAAATGAGGGTCAAACATCGACAATGTGGGTCTCACGTGTCATGTTTTTGAAGGAACAAAGATGTTAAATGAAAATAATTTTAATAAATAAATAAATAAAATCTAGAAAGGAAAAAAAAAAATACAAATCAACCCCACGTCCACAATTGCCGATTACCCATTATGAACATCATCATCATCTTCTTCTTCTTCTCCACCACCATCATCAATAGCTGCCACCTATGAGCCATTACAACAAGAAGCCAAAAAACATAGTCGCTGCAATAAAAGATCTAGTAAAGGAAATGGCTGGGGAAAGGTAAATGAGATTTAGTGTTAATTTCAATGAAAAATGAAAATAGTTGCGAAAAATGTGATATGATGTTGTAAGGTATTTGATTGAAGGAGAAAAGCTACAATTATTTCAATTTTTAATAATTTTGAAAGCTTGATAGTACTTAACAAATCGTACTCAATAATGTTGACAATGTCTGTAAAATTAAGAAATGAGTAGAAATAATTTAATCAGGATAGATTAAGATGAATGTGACAAATTTCCTTTTGATCATGACTTAATTTCTCTTCCACGGTCAAAGTTACTGGCATCCTATCAATACCCAACAACGCATCGTCCAAATCCAACTGTGCGAGTATTATATTCATCTTAACCTGCTATAGCGAAAATCTAGTATTTCGATTCAAAAGCGGAATGTCATACTTCATGGTAGTCATTACGAATGAAAAACTTCAAACAAATTTTAAAAAACCCTAGCGCTACGGAACTGCTGGACTTAGGCTCTGATACCAATTGTTGTAAAACAATCAAGATACCAGAATAATTTTGATACCAATTATTGCAAAATAAATAAGATACCAAAATAACCCTGATACCAATTGTTGTGAAACGAACTACCAGATTGAGATGTTGAAGTTATATGACAAATAATAATGAAATATTTGATCAAGTAAAATAATAAAGAAGATAAGAATATTGTAGAGAAATTAAAATATTTTATTGACTCAATAATAATGAAAAAGAGAGAAAATTACAATAGATCGTATAATTCTAGTAATCTATTTTCTTACCTTATAAAATTGTATAGAAAAGTCTAGTATTTATAGAGAATAAGTAAGAGATGTCCAAACCCACATAGTAGAGTTGTCGATGAAGTAGGATACCATAAAATTGAGTCCAAAACAAATTACAACTCCCAATGAACTTCCAAAATAAAACTTCCACTTGACATAGGACTCCAATAATATTCCTAATTGAATTCTTCTTGATGTGCGTTTCAATTAGAATTTTTCAATTACTTCAACAAGAAATTCGAGTCATACCCAAATTCTAACATTTAATTTAAGCCTCGCTTTGAAAAAGAATTTATAAACAAATAAAAATGAGTATTGATAAGTGAAGAGTATCTATGAGTCTATTGGAATGTATTGTTAAAAATAAAATTCGACGATTTATAAATTTTGCCAAACATAAGAGTTAAAATCAGCTCTATAAATTCTTTTCCATTTAGTCTGTTCTAAGTTTAACAACCTAAATTTCTTCTTACTTTAAATTACCTTAAGAGCGACTTAATAAATTCCTTTTCATCGCTCTATGCCTTTGTTCGCGTGAAATCCGCAAGTGTACGGGGTCGTTGTACAAGTAATAAGATTTGTGAGTCAAGAATATCGTAGGTCTAATTTGTAATTCAATAGCTACTATTAAATTCGAAGTGTGGTAATATCAAAAAGAAATGATTTGTATGTATTCTATATTAATCTTAAACTAACAAAACAAATGATGTATTTATTTATTATGTAAATATTTGTATTGGAATCGTGAATACCCCTATTGCCATT